CTAAAAAAATATGAAGACAAGTATATGAGATTAAAAATGCATGCTACTGAACAAATGGAAAAGTAATTTACTAAAAATTATTTTTTACTTAAATTTCTATAAATATTTTATAAAAAATTTATAGAGCCACTGAAGAGATAAATGAAAAAGAACGACTATTTGAAGCTGAAACATCTAAAATGAGAATAATGATAAAACGCCTTGAAGTCAAAGTAAGATCATTGCAAGAATCATTGGAAAGAAAAGATATTGAAAATGCTGAGTTAACCAATTTGTGTGACGAACTTATAGGAAAATTAGATAGAAAATAAAGTAAAAATATTTTATTATTTCGAAATTTAAGTTACACAATATCATAAAATAACTTTACTATTAAATTGATACAGTAGCTATTAATTTTTTTTACAAATATCAACATATATTATTAAAACTAATGATGCTATTTATGATAAATAATCATTCTTGTGTAAATGTGTACTAATGATCAATNATGATAAATAATCATTCTTGTGTAAATGTGTACTAATGATCAATTACCTTATTATTATTATTATATTTTTCATTTATATGTTAATATATTAATTGTACCTGTTAATTGTAATGTAATTACTTTTTTTGTAGTTTTTTAGCTATGGATACATAAACCATACATTTATTTCTTTAATGTATTTTTAAATGACTAAGATAATTATTAATATCTTTACTTTTGTGTATCAAAAAATATAATTCTAAACAAATTGAATGTAAAAGAGGTTATATTATATTACTCATTATTTTTGTCTTTTTATGTACCTATGTTAACTTGGCTATTTGAATTTACTTCTTGTTATTGTGGTATGCAGATATTGGTAAAATTATATATGTATACAGTCATTAATATGTTTCATATTTTAAATGTATTCTTTTATTTTTTTCATAACTTTAAATATTATGTGACAGTATTAGAATGAGGATAATTTAAGGTAATTTATTTCAACAATATTTTATTATTATTAAGAAATTAAAGACCTCACTTTTTGATTTACAAAGAGATAATATTTAACATTTGTTATAAGTATTAAATTATTGCTATCTGAAATCACACTACTTTAATCATTTATTTCATTAAATAAATACCTCCAATATTATTTTGCTTCATATGTTATTTTATATTGTGACACTACCTAAACAATGTAACTACCTACACACAACATTAAGTAACTATTTTATATAATATTATTTAATTCTAAAATAATAAAATGTTTTTAAATATAAATAAATGATTACTAATAAAATTGCTGTACTTCACTACTTAGAGAATTAAATAATTTTTTAAGTATCATGGAGTTTATTTCCTTTGGATTTCTTTGGCTATTCAAATAAATAGGCTTTTTTTTCACGCCATCAAATTAAAAAAAATCTAGAAATTTATTTATGTTTCATTAATATTAAAATAAAAAACTGTTGTATTGGTTTATGGACAAATCTGATTTTCCAATTAACATATGTTATTTTATTATATAATGATTATATTTACTTTGACTACCGATTATATTATAATAAAATAAGATTTTTTATAAAAAAAAAATGTTCTAGCTAGAATTTTATAATTTTAATTTCATAACTTAAATTATAATTAACTAACAAGTATCAGAATAAATTAATTTTCTTCTTTTTTTTAGCTTTGATGCGAAACTGAGAAGATATTAATTTTACCATGATGTGTTTTTTTTTTGTATGTTGCCAATTTTTTCTCATCTCTCACTGGACCGATTTTGATGAACAATATGTCAAAAGATCACAAATCGTGTTTAGTTGAAGACATTACCCTTAAAAATTGAAAAAAATCCCACGTTCACCGTAAATGGGGAAGACAANCGCTTAAAAATTGAAAAAAATCCCACGTTCACCGTAAATGGGGAAGACACCTTTTCTTCTATATGAAAATTATATCTTAAATTAAAGGCAATGTAATATACTTTAATTTGAAAAAAAAAAATTCACCTCTGGACTTGTCTTCATGGTGAAAAAGGCAACCGAATGCTATTTTTTTGTGAAAATTCTCGATTTTATAATTTACATTTTTTACTTAAAGCGCTATAACTTTTTAAAAAAT